TCATTTAAAAAAAAAAGTCCTGGAAAACCATTTTTTAATCTAATTGTTTCTTGGTAAGGAGACAATGAAAAAATATAAAATAGATAAATAAATTAATTACTGATTTTTTTATATTATAATATTTTTTATGAAAATAGTTCTGATTCAGAAAAACCTCCAAATTTAAAAAACCTTGAAAAACTTTTCAACAAAGATGAAAATTCAAATATTGTATTTGCATTAGTTGAAGGTGGAAATATTTCATTTGTAGAAGTTAGTGATTTTAACTTTAAAAAGTTAAAAGTTGAAATTGTTAGAGAGAGAAAGAAGGTAGAAAGTAATAAATAAATAAATAAATAAAGTTAAATAATGAAATGTTGATATTAATGTATATGAAATTTTTGAAGATGTTGTTCTTTGTTTCTGCTGTTGTTGAAGGCGGAGAAGAAAATGATGATAAAATCACATTATATCCAAAAATAAATTATTAAATAAAATCAATTTTTTGCATGTTAGCGTAATATCCATCATCACCTTTTGGTAATTGCATAGATGACAATTCAATTGATTGGATCAAATGACTTCCAAACTCATATCCTAATAATAAATAAATGATATAATATGATATAACATGATATGATACAATTATTAAATAATAAATTCTTACTTTTGAAATTTCTATATACTTCATCTGGAATGGTTTTAATTTTCTGTTTTTTGCCATCATTTGACTCCAATGTAAAAAAAGCATTTCTGAGCTTCATTAAAGTCGCATGTGGTTGGTAATTGTCTTTATCAAAATCATCATCATCACCAACTAATTTGTTTTGTTTGAAGCTTTTGTGAAGTGCATCTGCTATTTGAGTGATTAATGATAATTGATCATCCTTTTTTGGTGATGCATAAACCACACGTCCTTTATTAAAGATTTCAATTCCTTTGAAACTTATTGTAGGTCCTCCATTTGGACTAATTTCTTTTAAAATCTTATTATTTTTTTAAGATCATACATACATAATAATATGTAAATACCATGTATTATAAACAAAATTAAAAAAAAATATATATAAAATAAATTATTGTACATTTTGACTATTAGATAAACATTCTTTGGCGCTTTTCAATCTTTCTTCATTTTCAATATGAAAAACAAACAAAGTAATATGTATCTGGTTTGATTTTTAAAAAGAAAATATTAATTATTTTTGATTTACCTTATCGGATAATTTATCTTAATCAATCACCTGAACTGGATCAATAAGAAGCTTAGTGTACCCAGGAAAATTATTCTTCACATGATTTGAAAATTCCATGAAATTATCTTGTATATTTTGTGTGTTAAGTCTAATAGATAAAAAGTAATTTGGTCTTGTTCTTTGATACGTTTTCTTGAACCAATCAATCAATTAATAAAATCAATCAATAAATCAATCAATCAATTAATTTTAATCTTGATATATATATAAATCTTCTTGTACCTTTTGTACTTTTTGCACAGTTGATAAATTATTGGAAAGTGCTCTTTTTGAAGTCATTTTCTTTTCTTTAAATTAAAAATTAATCAAATATCAATTACTTGTAATGAATTTCCTTCATTAAGAATTTGAGGGTGTTATTTCACTAAATGTGGATTTGATAGTAGGTGAGTGGGTGAGACAATTCTTCAATAATATTGTCATCAGTGTCCGAAATTCGACTGAGTCTTGACATAAAACTAGTCTAATTTTAGAAAAGTTACTCTACAGAATTGTTTGTGCTTTAATTTTACAAAATCAAAATACTTCCCTTGTATTACTAGTGGCGGGAATAAAAAATTATGATCCTTGCACAAGATTGTCTATCATATATACATAAAAAGTAAGATATACTGAATCATTCTGTTTGATTTTAAAGCAATAGTTTTCTTATCTATACTCAATGGAAATGCATTACCAGCTGACATATAGCATGATAATATGGATTTTAGAAGAACCTTTGTATGTCACGAAGCATGTATCCATTATTTGCTCTTCTAAAGAAAAATTGTGAATTTGCATTTTCATTGTGAAATCTTAAATAAACGAATAAAAAGTGCGAAATATATATTTATTTGGTTGCCTTTCTCTTTTTTTTTTCTATTATTACTAAGATGCATGTATAAATAAATCTCATTCCATAGATCATAGACATGTAGTATAGATATTAATAAGTTAATATTAAGCATTTGTGACTTTAAATAAATATTTGACACAGATACCTGTGCGTTTATGGTTTAAAATAAACTTTCACAATTTTAAAAGTCATTCCGCAAGTTTAACTTGTGCATTCGGTAACTTTATTATACATTCGCTAAGAGTCTGAACTTTGTTTATAATACAAGTCTTTATTTTTAATACTAACTTTTTACATACAGCTAATATTATAGTTTTCGGCGATGTGATTTTATAAACAAACAATACGCGTTTTATTTAATATTAATCACAAAAATTTTTAATGGACAATTTTCATATTCAAATTTTGTCTTACCCTTAAAAATTAAAAAAAAGTTTTTGAAAATCCAACATGTGGATCACATGATATTTCAGCTTTCGAGTATATATGATCTGCACTGTATCTGCATCTCAACTTGATAATATCTTGCTCCAATTCAACATATTGTTGATTCATCATCATAATACAATCTTTAATCATCAACATACGATGAGAAATTCTCAAAATTAAAAGATCATCTTCATTGTTAACATTCCCATAATTTGAAGAAGGAAGATGATCATTTGTCATCATCATGATGTCACTATTGTTTTGATTATATTGTCCACAGTTTTGAATTTGTTGATGTGCAGAATTTTGTTGGTAAATGTGCTGAGAGTAACATTGGGATAGTTGTTTCAGAATTTGTTGATCATGAGTTTGTTGTTGTTGGTGTTGTTGACCCATATTTTGTTGATGTTGATTGTGATTAGGAAGAACCTGGTTGAGATTTTGTAGTTGAAGGCTGGGATGTTGAACCGGTTGTATAATTGGTTGGCTATTAACTTCTTGATTTTGTTGTTGCTGATAATTGTAAGTCATGTTTGTTTGTTTACTTTTTTATAATTAAGGAAGAATGAAAAATAAAAAAATAGAAAAGTGAATTAGAATTTTTCTTTTCAATTTATAAAATTCATGAATACTATGCTCGACTACTGTGACAAGTTTGGTTGGCATCAAGTTGTTTATCTTTTTATGTCATTAAACATTCATTATTGATTGTTAAGAGATTTTGACACAAACAAACACCATTTATTGATATTATTGATATTTGTGACGTCGAAGAATCCGAAAATAATAATGTCATCACCACCACTAATAAATCAGAAACTAGATCTTCTGAGGTAAATCCTAGTTTCTATAATGCTGTTAACATGTACTCATATCAATTTGATAAAATTTTGCTAGATACCACAATATTTGAAAAAAGGAAATCGTTTAGCATTCTACAACATCACATGCCTATTTGATAATACATTTCCCTATACAAAGAATATGATAGAAATATTTGGAGATAACCAAATTAAAATTTTTGTTGAAAAGTAATTTTTATTTTATATTTTGAGTGTTCACCATTATAACATTGAATTAATAGCTTGATATTTGCTTGTTTTAATGAAATAAGGCACACAACAACATTGAGAAAAATTACATCAATGAGAATTATTATAAATGATAATACAAATATAGAAAATTTCAGTGTGAATATAAATAAAATGATCACAAAATTTTCAGAACCTCCATTTGATGGAGAATATAAAAATGAATACAATGAGTTATTGTGGTGTCAAGATGTATTGAAAAATATGTATGTGATAGTTCCTCTGTATTGTTGAATAATTGTTTCATAAAATTAAAGTTTCTTTTTTGGTTATTAGGGGTAAAGAGTTGCAGAGAAAACATTCAACTTTAATAGATAATGAAGCGAGTGAGTATAGATATCGAGATGAAATTGTTAATTTGCTTTTAGCTCCAATTTTTCATGATGTTGAAGAATATATATGGCTTGAAACGTAAGTGTTATTATTGAAAACTCTATTTATTATACTGGTTGTGTAGATCTTGACTCTTCATTAATATGGAAATAGAGGGGAAATTGAGAATTGGGAGAGGAAAGAACAAAAAAACATTCATAAAAAAGAAAACGAAAGAGAAAAATTGGTAATAAGCATGATGGCATATTGTTCATGAAATTGCATGGAATAAAAAGGGAAATGGGTTTTGTAGAGGTGGTTGGAAATGTGCTCATTAAGAATACTTCATCTAAAAATGATGATTTAGAAAAATTGTTAAAGGGTATGTACATCTTCTGTAATATCTTATTCATTAATATGATTCAAACATGGTATTTGACGATCATAATATCTACATTGTAGTCATGATGCTAGCACTATGGTACAAAAATGTTCATTATGATTATAATGAATCCAAACTTATGTTGAAATCATTTGGAATACTAGTTTATGGCAAGTGTTTATTCAAAATTTTCTAATTGTCTTGATCAAAGATCTACTGACTAATTCAATCATTTTAACAGGTCATAAGTTTTACTTCCTAAGTATGATTCTTGATGAAAAGTTGTTTATTGTTAAAGAATTTGATTCTTTTGTTATTCCAGACTCAGGAATAGACTTTAAACAAATGATAAATGTTGTAATATCAATAAAAAAGTTCAAAGTAAGTTCTTTTGATTTCTATTCATGTACAGTAAAGATGTTTTTGATTTCAGGATTATTTTTAAAATTTTGATATTTTAAATTATAATAGTTGAGAGTGTTAAAGTACCATCAAGATTTGATGAAGTTCACAATGCTGAAGGACATAAAAACAATTGATGTCAAAGTGCCACCTTCAACGCCACCTCATCTTCCATAATTGTTTGTTTTCTATTTTTTCCTTTTTCTTTGTAAATATTTTCTATTCTTCTACACATATATACAATTTATGGACAAAAATACTAAATGGATTGATTTTTCCAATTTTGAAGATCATTAATATTAAAAAAATTTAATAATTAATAGATAATATGCCACAAAGGGTTAATGCTGTTTTAGAAAGTAGAGGAAACCTGACAAGATATTAATTTTTTTTTTAATAAAATATAATCAATTTAAAGTAGTTTCATATATTTTTTCGATGTCTTTTATGTTTCAAATTAGTGAGCAGTTTGAGGTTGAATTGTTTCATAGAATTTTTTACATTTTATTTTTTCCCTCATTAATTAATCTACCAAATGCTCTAAAATTTTAGAGTAACTAGATTTAAACATGGGAAACATTTTTTACTTATGCTACAAAGGTCGTTAGAACTTGCTAATGCAGTCAATTTTTGAGTTAAAAATTTTTCAGAAAATTCTGGAATTTTCATTTTTATCTTTTAAGGTTTGTAAAACAACAATGGTTTATTTATATGTAGTGAAACTTCGGTATATTATAGTATTTGATATGAAGATTATTTTTTACTTAATAAGCAAGTGTGATTGGGATAGTAAAATTTTTAGTTTTTGTCATGTCACTTTATTCAATTATTTGTGATGATCTGCAGGTGTCCCTATACTTTTGTCCAGGTAGTGTATCTATATAAAAACACTATTCTTCTCTATATACTTTTTTCAATAGAATCCACTTTCTTCAAATCCTTAACCTAACGACATGTTATATATTATATATATATATAAACAAAAAACCTTTATTAAAATATTATGTTGCATTTATTAGCATTAGTAAATATATACATTATTATAAAATTCAAAATAAGTGACAGGTTATTTTTTACCTAAACTCTTGCTATTCAATGATTTGTAATGTAAGTAATAGTAATAGTTAATTTTGATCCTTGAAATTCTTGGTAATATAATGTTCACTTTGTCTGGTTTTGTTGCAGCATGCCCCATTTCTGGATGTTTAAGTATTGAAAAGGCTCTGTAAGTGTAGACTAACACACTTTTTCACAAAATCTATTGCTGTTTACACTTGTCATATTCTCTTGGCTTACCCTTTTTATAAATTGCATTCTCTATTTAAAGCTCTGAATGGTTCGGTTTGGTTCGGTTTAATGCCCAATCCAATTTTTTAAAGGCCAAACTGAAAAATTTCAGATATTCTAAATTTGTTAACTATGCAAAATATACATAATAACTTCAAAAAATTATAATAACTTGTAGCTTAGTTTTAGCAAATGTGTTGCGAATAGTGTTGGTTTCCAAAATTAGAGAGTTTCACAACTGTGCAAAAGTCAAAAGGTTTCACCATAAGTCAAAACTAGTTTTGATTTTTGAATATTGACTTTTGATTTAGTTTTGACATATAACTTTTAATTTTAGTTTTGACTTTCGCCTCTTCAAAATATTTTTGGCAACCAACACTAGTTGCAAAGTAGAGATCCTGTTTCTAAATACATAATCTATAGTTTTTATACTATGGTAATGATGGTCCATTTTTTACCAAAATTAGAATGGAGATCATGGTTGAATTTATATGTGGATACCATATTCGAATTATTCGTTTACACAGTGAGTCTCGATTTAACGGATATTTTTTTCCGGAAAATTTATCCGTTAAATCGAGAGATCCGCTAAATCGAAACTTATGATCAAATCATGTGATACAAATTAAATGTGT